GAAAGACCAGCCGGCATCAAACTTTGGTCGAAAGCAGGGAAGAAAGGGGCGAGGGGCAGGCTGACATACCTTCGCCCGGCCTTACGTTCGGCCTGTCCCCGCCTTTCCCGTCGTTCTTGTCAATGGCATCGGCCAAGTCGAAATCCATAGGATCCTTTGCTGTAAAATAACGCGCTGGTTAGTAGTTCTGGCCACAGGTCAGGAAGCTTCCTAATTCTGGCCAACTTACTTAATCAAGGAAATGCTCAACTTTGCCAGGGAAAAGTGTCAGTGAAAGAGATGAAGGCACTGATATAAATATTTCCTGGTTTCGCTACACGGTACCACGGGAGATGTTCCAAATTCATTCGGTTTCGTGCTCTCACGCTGCTGTTGTGATAAATGTCATGTTCTTCCTGCAGAAATTGTCTCACGTAGCGGATCAAACGCCAGGCAATCATATAAATCAAGCAGGATAGAAAAGGTCAGAAAAAAACAGGCAATTCTAAGGGCCCGGCGAGTGGCAGCGCCGGGGAGGATGCCTTAAAGGGGAAGGAAGTGCTTTCTGTAGCGCTCGTGCCCTGATTGGAATAGGCTGTTACTTGATTGCTTAGTGGTATTTTTCGCTGTGAAACGCACAGTTGGTATGCTGAGTTCGACTCTAGCAGAGCGGCTTTTTACTGCTCTCACTAAAGGGGAGCTAAAAAAAATGGGAACTGGGCCAACCCAAATTTCTCAGCTCCCTCTAGCTTCTACATAAGTTTATTCTAGTACGAGATTTATTTTTTTAGTCTGGGAGGAGAGACAGAACTGGTGCCCTTTCCCAAACCCCGGCGCCGCTCGGCGATTCCCGCCTGTGGGCGAGTGGGTGCCGCTCCGGGAGAGCCCAGCTCCGCGGGACGGGTGCTGGGGCCGCGTGCCCAGCAGTGGAGGAGCGGTCCGGGAGGCAAAGCAGCTCCTGAAGGCTGGGGCGCTCACCTGGGTTATGTCGAGGGGGGCTCCTCGTAGTTTTTGGTTTCTTGGTTGTGGTGGTGCGGACGACATCCCACAAGCTGTTGTCTGAAGAGGGGGAAAAGAGAACAAAATGAGTCAAATGTGCACTTGGGACTCAAGGAGAGCAGAGGGGGAGACTCCCTCCCCCAGGACCGGGCCGTGCCGCGGGCACCACTGGTGTGCCATCTCTGCTGCCTCCCCTCTGGCCCAAGGCAGAAATCAGCACGTGAAACGGTGCTTGGATTTTAGACTGGGACAACCCAGAACTAGCTCTGACCGAAATCCAGTGCGATGCCTGCTGGGCTGCCCCTTCCCCCCAGCAGCGTGCGGGAGCAGAACCGTGCACCGCTGGAAAGATATTCAAGGATTTGATGCTCTGCACAACTAAATATCCCGCCTGCTAACGTGGAACGACTCCGTTCTGGTTGGGAAACTTTTACAAATGCTGCTTGGCAAAGCTCTGCGACATCACTCGAGCATGCCGGCCCGAGGTGCAGAGAGGAAGATGCAGAGCATTGCTTTAAGCTAAGTGCCGGACTTCTCGCTGCAACAGAAGTGGCAGCCTCGAGCATCTCTTCTGCCAGCTCTTGTTAAGAAAGCAGAACAGCTGGAGGTGGTAACCTTTTAAATTGCTAAAGCAAAACTTGCCAGAGCTCATCTGTCAGTGCTGAATCTCAACCTCCTAGTTGCCAGGACTGCTGTCCCAGTCATGAGGCAAAGCTTCTCGTGGTTACCTTTGGGAGCGTTTTCCCCTTTTTCAGACCCAAAAAAGGACAGCATGCATGCATCCCTCCCAAGGACACCAGGGCAGAGCACAGTACCTGGCTTCTTAGGGAAGGGCTTAGCAGTTGGCTTGGCTGGTTTGGTTGTCGTCTCCAAGGGGGTGTCAAAGTAATCGGCCAAATCAAAGTCTATTACAGAAGAGGAGAAAACATTAAAACCAGCATCGTCTGTGTGACCAGCACAAGACATCCCGCCTGCGCCTCCAGCTCGGCAGCTCTGCGAGGACGCCGTGCGAGTGGCCTGCCCAGAGCTGCGTGCTGAGCATGGCAGCGCGTTATTAGCCCGCGGGGGTCTGCTCCCACCCAGCTGCCCGGATGGGCTCTCTGCTCGGCGTCCTGCTGCCCGAGGGCAGGCAGCAGCGCCTGCGGGAAACTGTGGCTCCCACGACTCGCGTGCAGCACCCGATCTGACCTGATCGCTCTGGTAGCGGGCAGGAGCTGAAAAGGGCATCCAGACAACGCCTCACTGGAGCACAACTGTATTACAGAGCTTTCAGATGAGACTGACTGTGATTTCATTTTCCCCATGTGGGCTGCGGCTCCCCTCTCCTCTGCCCTGCCCTGCTAATGGCAGCCCGTGTGGCCCTATATCGCTCGGGGCTGGGCGAAACGTCTCAGCTGCCCGGGGCGATGCCGCCAGTGCAGAGCAAGGAATAACCTCACTGTGCTGCTTCCCAGCAAGACGCATGCTCCAGCACGGAGCCATCGTGCTCAGTAGTCAGAAATACTTTTTTCCCCTTCCTTTGTCGGGCTGAAGAAGTCCCCAGCACCCGGAGTGGAGAGACTTCTGCCCCCTCGCCTGATGTGAGGATGGAAAGGGATTTAGTCGTGGTCAGTGCGCGAGGGACTGCAGCACCCGCGCAGAGAGCGGGGGGGGGGGGGGGACGGAGACTCATACGAGGGGG